ACCACCGCCAGCTGCCAGGCCGCGGCCGGGCGCGCACGCTGTCGCTCTGTCCTCTGTTTCTGCCCTGCCATCTGTCTCTGCTCAGTCCTCTGTCTCTGTTCTGCCCTCTGTCTCTGTTCCGTCCTCTGCCTCTGCTCTGCCATTATCTCTGTTCTGTCCTCTGTCTCTGCTGTTTTCTGTCTCTCCTCTGTCTTTCGTCTCTTCTCTGTCATCTGTCCTCTGTCCCCGCTGTCATCCGCATCCGCTCTGCCCTCTGTATCCGCTCTGTCCTGTCATCTGTATCCGCTGTCCTCTCTCCTGTCCTCTGTATCCACCCTGCCCTCTGTCCTCTGTCGACGGCCTCCAGGCCGGTCCGAGGTGAACGCCCTTTAAAACAGTACCGCGGCGGCCGCGGCTGCGACTGAGCTGGCAGCGTCGCGTCCGGCGGCTCTCATACCTGGCCCGCAGCGCCGCGGCCGGAACCCACGCACAGCGCTCGTTTGAGAACCGCCAGCAGCCGGGCCATGCCAAGGAAAACGTCTGTGACCCGCTTAAAGCACAAGGTGGAAACATACGACGTAGGGGCACGGCGCGTTTTCATTTCCTGCTGGAAGCCAAGGTTACACGTCACGGCATGGACCGAGTCGGGCAACACCGAGTGCGCCGCGTGGCGCATGTGGTCCTTCCATTTCACCCGTCGTAAAAGACCGCCGCACCTGGCTCCGCTAATCTGACGGAGTTTATACGCCGCAGCGCAGCCCGCTTCTCGTCGGCCCGAGTGAGGCTGGCGGCTGATCCACAGGACATGACAGACCGAAGCCGGCCGGCACAAATCGCCGAAAAAGCGCCGGCGGCACGTTTTCCGCCGCCGAAAACAGGCCGCCTGCCAGTCCACGTAGCCCTCTGAGATCCGCCTTAGTATCACAAAATTACGATGTGAATTGCTCGAAGAAGCCGCGAAAAAAAAACGCTCCGCAGTCGCGCGATATTTTTGGCATCGCGTATAGAAACCTCGCGCGTCTTCAGGCCATTTATTTTTACATGGCTACCTTTGCTTTTTAACTGTCGACATTTGCTCACACACATACAAATACCTGTCGACATCTGATAGGGGGCAGCCACCACCACCGGTACACCTTGCATACGCCCCTGGATACGCCCTGCTTACGTGAGCGCAGTGTGTTGGTCGCGCCGCCCGCCGCCGATGACCCCCCCCCCCCCCTCCCCGATCGGTCTGGCCGACCGAATGACACACGTTCTGCGCGCCAGGTCAATAGCAGACACATGACTTGCCAAACACGACAGCGTCCGGGCCGATTACGTTAATCGAGAGCCGCTGCCTGACGCAAACGGCGTCCGGTTCCGGCCGACGCTCGGACTCCGGTGCACGGGAGTCCGGTGCGCTGGATCGGACTCTGACTCCGGTGCGCTGGCCGGCTCGGCCCGGTTGGGTGACGCGGCGAGCGAGGTCACCGGCTCGCACCGCCAGGGGGGGGGGGAGGGGGGGGGGCGGACCTGACCCGCGCCGGGCTCCACCCGTGACAGCGCGGCACAAACATCCGCCTCCGCAGCCGGCACAGCCGCCGCCGTGCTTAGTCGCTAGACAAAGCCGAAGGAAGGCTCTAGCCTACACACCCTCTGCCCCTGGTGGTGCAGCGATTTATACTACAGAGATCACCTGTCGGTGCCGGAGGACCCCCAATGTAACTCGTCTTAATACAGCCCACAAGAACACGGCACCGTTCCAAAACTTCCAACCCACAGCGACCACGCGACCAGCCTCCATGCTCAGCGGAACTAGCACCTGTATTCACCCAGCCAAAGGCACAGAAGGCCGGCCGGGTCCGTCCCCACGCTCCTGCTCGCGACTGCAGGCGCTGCAGCCCGAGCTTCTGAGTGCTCCCCGCGCCTGGCTGGACAGCACACGCGTCCGCCGACACGGCGCCTCCGGGCCCTCGCACGCGTCAGGGACGTGCTTCGCCGGCCCGCGCTCAGTTCGCCGCGTCTGTCCGGCAGGCTGGCAACGCCACCCCGTTCGGATGGCGTTGGCACGGCGTCGAGGTGCGCTGACAGCGGCGCTGCCAGCCGCGCCCTCGCCGATCGCGGCCCGATCCAGGTCACGCGGCAAAAACCGGCCGGCCGCGCGCCGCCGGCTGCGGGCGGGCCGGGGCCCTGCCGACGCGCGGTCACGCAGGCCGGCCTGCAGCGGCCGGGCCGGTCCTCGGCGGACCAGCCGTGGGGCAATACCAGGTGATCGGTACCGACCACCCGTGAAGGGAAACACCAAGCGGCTATTACTTTGCGCCGTATGTGTTTGGCCTGATGGCGTGTCTGTAGACGAACCGAGTTACGTGGGCGCCGGTGGGTGCGGCGCCCCAAATCCCGAGTCATCACCGGCATCAGACACGGCTCTGCAAATGCACATTCACCGCCAGTGGCAGCTGCCGCCGCCGCCGGAGGTGTCACGCGCCGCGCGCAGACGGCCCGGGCGACGGCAGTGCCGGCCGGCGGCGCGGCCGCCGTTGACTGTGCATCCTCAGCGCCGCCTCCCGCTCCCACCCAGCCGCCGCCTACGTCACCGACAAAAAAACACGACCCAAAAAAACACGCGCCGCGTGCGTACTCGCCGGCTGACCGGCCGGGCAGCGGCGGCGACCGGAAGCCGGCCCGCCACGGCGCCGGCGCCGGCGGCACACGAAGGAAGCGGCGGCGCCGGCGGCGGCGGGGGTGGCGGGGCGGCGGCGGCGGCTTAGCGGGTGCGTCACCGCCCGGACCTCACACGTCACGATCGCGGCCCAATACGGCGCGACGCGGCGCCGTGCGGCGCCAATCAGGCGGGACCGGCGGCCGCTCGGTCCACCCCTGTGACCGGAGGCGCGGGGCCGTCCGACCGCACACCTCCAACGACACCGGGCCGGGGCCGGCGCCTGACACCCTGACACCCTGACACCCTGATTGTCGCCTGGCTCGACCTTGGGGAGTTTACGCCAGGCGATGGACGGACGAGTGTCACACAACACGGCAGGTCCACGAAAGGGCTGGAGCTCTATTACTTCATGGCTTGTCTGGTGGCCTGCAGGAATTCTGAGAAATATCGTTTCGTAGTGAAAAATCCCGCGTGACTAACAACACGTGCATCATTGGGGCATGTGTTTTGCTTCGCGGGATGGTTTTGGCTAACATGATGCACGCCATGTCTTAAATACACGTCACGCCAGTGGCGTGTATCCAAGAACATATTGGCTACAGCGTTAAGTTTCCTTTTCTCGTTAAATCAGAGCAACCGCACACTTTCCGGAAACGTTCTCGAGAGCGGTTCAGCGAATCTGTATCAGGCTCATGCACAAGATGTTGCGGGTCGGCGCGGCTCAAGGCCGCCTGGCCATCCGAACGTGCGGCGCTCGTCTCTGAGAGCCTCTAAGGAGCGACAGCGACGCGGAAAGATTCGCTCGAGTCCACCCGATGACTTGTGCCGCTATCTGACCAGTGCCGCTGAGTCAACCCGCAAACAGCAGGCCCCGCGATCGCTGTCCGCTCTGCTGGGCCGCCCGATGAAGCCTGGTCGAGCGGGCCGCAGCGATGACTGCGCGCTGGATGACTGGAGTCTGGAGCGCCGCGACGCTGGGGTCAGTCGGCGCCCAGGTCAGCTCCGGCGCCGCCGCATTGGAACGGACCGCTGACCGTCGCACGTTTCATAACTAGCCACTTGAGGCATGTCCCCGTTTTGGTGCTGCATGCTAATCGGACCGTCGGGGTCGGAGAAACCGCGTGAACCCAGCGACCCCGGCCATACGACGCCGTAGTTGAGCTTCGGCTGCGACGTGAGTGGGTCTACGCCTCTCACCCTTCGCCACTGGCGCAGGCTGCATCAGCCATCGCCGGCTCGGACCAGCGGTGAGGCAATCCCGGTGCACGGGTCGCCGACATACGCCGCAGCCGGCCGCCGTGCGCGTGGCCGGCGGCGCTCTGGGATAATCGGGCGCCACTGACGACACAGCCCCGCCCGTGGCGGCGGCGGCACAGCACGCCTGCAGTCGCCACCCGACTCCCCAGCGCGAAGACATGCTGCCCTCTTCAATCACATCTGGAAGACGGCTGTGTTTCCAGTGAAATGCAACTCGCGATAACGGTAAGCGCAAATTGAGGATGCAACCCGCCCTTCTGTTCTGAGCAAACCCTGCTTCCATCGAACAACAATCCGCATATCGGATCATGAGAAGAATTGCGGTGAATGGGGCGAGTGTTTGCCTTGTTTCCTTCCACGCAAGGCTGCACAGCATGGGTCAAAAGCGCACGGAGATGGGCAGAGGGAATTTCGCCTCCTCTGTCTGAAGCTCTGTCGCGACCACCGCCACTGCATGGCACACACACATCCACGACTCGTCACGTGACTCGCCCCCATCGACGCACCCTCCCATGCGCTGGCTAGGTCACAGCAGCCGTTAGCCACCTGGCGTAGCGAGGCCAAAGGATAAAACAAGACAGCACCAAAAAGACAAAAAAATAACTCGTCCTCGCGGCGAAAGCCGGCCTCTGCGGCGGTCCTGGCGGCGGTCTTCCCCCAGATCCCGTGCCGATCGGGTCCGACACACCCTGGTAATGTCTCACTCCGCCGCAGGCCGAGCTGGCCCATCCTGCAGCTGACGCACGAGCCTGACTCCCGTTCTCTGTCGTTCTTCTCACCTCCTCCCCTCCCCCTCTCCCGCTCTTCTTGCCGTCCGGCTGCTCTGGAGGCGGGTACGGGGCGGGCAAACCGGCGCACGGTCACGACCGTCCCCTGCGGCTGCTCTCGAGGTGGGCACGGGGCGGGCAAACCGGCGCACGGTCACGACCGTCCCCTGCGGCTGTTCGAGTTCAGCGGTCAGCGTCGCCAGTCGCGGCCCATCCGTGACGTGACGGTGACGCGCCGCAATCTCCCGCCGGGGCGATAGTGAATGCGCTCGCACGTGAGCCGGATGAGCCCGCCTCGGACACGACCGATTGCCGGTGCGCTATCGGGGCCGGGCGCCGAGCCCACCTACCATCTGGAAGCTGTTCTGTCGGCTGCTGGTGCCGCATCCATTACATGCCACGGCCGCCTCCTGGAAGAACATGCTGAGCGCCGTCTGCAACACACAGACACCGGGTCAGGTCAGGTCAGGTCGCAGGGACAGACGGGGCGAGAGGACGGTCCCGTGACGGATGTCTGGCTGTCAGTCAGACTGGCTGGATGTAAGAAGGGCGAGAGTACATTTTCCGCGACCAGACCTGCCGCCACTAGACCGCAAGGCCGTGACTAGTCACACAGACTGACAGAGGGTACAAACTACCCACCACTTCTCTAGAAGCTGGCTGTTTGGATCACGCAATCAAATGCAGCCTCACTGGGTGAGGTAAGTTATGCGCATGCCTGTCAGAGGTAAAATATTATAAGCAGCCTTTGATATCAGGATCCAATGTCAACACCAGCATACACATAGGCCTGTCCTGACCTTTGCATTCCAGTCATTTCCAGTCGATACTAAATCTATCCATGGCAGAAATTGATGATGCGCTGCACTTTCGGCCGCTCCGGGCCCCACGTCCGCATTACCAGTCCATTTTCAAAAACGCCGCGCGCCACAACACTGACTGGGCACCAGCCGACAGACCGGATCTTTCCCCTCCTCCCCCGGAGGCCATTAGGTCACGGGGAATGGGCTGGGTCACCGCAGTGCCGTCACATCACGTCCGGTCCCGGGGCCATGGTCGGGTTACTATCACTCCCCGTACGCCGAGCCAGGCACGTGGCATTTCAATCGGACGCACGGCGCAAAGGGCGCGCGGACGCGGCGCCGCCGTTCGCCGCTGGCCAAATGTCACCCGGTCCGACACGATCCGACCCGGTCCCGGTCCCGCAGGGTCCAGTTATAGCTAGCGGTGGCGCCCCGGTCCGGCCCGATCCGGCCCCGGTCCCGGTCCCGCAGGGTCCAGTTATAGCGGCGGCGCCCCGGTCCGGCGCGCCGCCGCCCCGGGCCCGGCCGCCGCGGGAGGCTGCTGCACCCGGGCTCGGCTCGGCCGCCGCCGCCTCCGGTGACGTCACAGGAAGCCTGAGCCCGGTGACGTCACCGGCCGGGCGCCAAGGCCACGGGCCGGCTCCGAGCGGGGCTGACGGCGCCGGTCACCGCCGGCCCCGCCTGTGTTGGAGGCGGCCGGCGGCCAGTCAGCGATGCCACAGGATGAGACGCACGGTGGGACAGAGCAGGACTCGACTTGCCAGCGAACAGCTTGGCAGAGCAGGGGGACTAACAACGATGCCGGTCTGGGGGAGAGGGGGGGGGGAGGGGGTAAGAGCGCCGAGCGCTGGCGCCGGCTGCAGCGAACATCATTCCATGCCCCGCGAGCGCCATGCCAGTGTTCACAGGCCCGTTTTATTGCTGTTACTACCAGCGTCAATTTGGTTAGGCATCAGGACTTCTATTTCAAGGAAATCAGATCTCAGCCCCCCCCCCCCCCCCTGCCAGCCACAGCCACTGCAGCGCCATCGACCTCACATGATGCGCCACGGCCGTGCCGCCCGCCGAGCCGTCGAGCCGTCGAGTCGGGAGCGGAGCTGCCAGTCGACAAACGACCTCACAAATGGTCCAAGTTTGGACGGCTGCTTTCGACTGGGCTACCCCCAATTCAGCGCCAATCCGGAGACCCATCCGGCCCGCACTGATGAGAATGGATGCCACCGGCTCGAAAGCACCGCAGACGAATCGCGAGTCGTTCATGGCACAGCCAAACGAACCAAACTGTGTGCTGAAGGCGTCACAGGGACGAATGGGGTCCATCACTGCCCCAAGCAAGCCGTTTCAATGCCGCACACGGAAACACCAGAAGCAACACGACAAGCAAAGCCCGTCGCGTGAATAGGCCACTGCTAAGGGGCGGATCCAGGGAGGGGTGAACCGGGCTGTGATCCAACCTAAGATCGCCAGAATCGGTCCATAATGGCATATTTCATGACTCTGAAAAACACGCAAGCAGCTATCGACACGAAAAGATACTTAAGAATATTCCTGGAGGTACTTGGAAGCGAAATGTTGGAAGCTTTAGAATATCAGAACACCTTTTTTGGACCTCGCTTCCACGCTGACGTTGCCTTCCCCAGGGCAGCGTTCTGGATCCGCCCTTGATACTGCACATATCGCGATCAACGGTATTTGAGATTGCAACTTGAGTACCTAACCACAACGGTAACACGAGCCGATACCCAACAAATAATCCAACGACGCCAGTCAAAATCCTAGTGTTCTTATGGATGACCCTTCACGCCTTTGTATGACTGCACCGGCAGAACGTCACCACAATAAGCTACGTCACTGATCTGTTACGTTCAAGGCCTTCCACGTACGGTCCGAAGCTCACATAAGCCTCCACCTTTGTGCGCCGTTATCAGAAGGGCGCCCCACTCCAGGTTCACGGACGACATGGCTGCCGTTTTCCCCGCGGCCACGGTAAGTCCACATCACCCCGCCCACCACCCACCCGCTCCACCGGAGTTAATCCCTTACCGGACATCATAACCGGTATCTCCTTCTCAAGACGTACCCATTCACCTGTAAATACCTGTATAGGGTGCGGAAGACATCAGCTCCCCGAACGGCACCACTACATCCGCAAGAGACGGCGAACGGCGCGGACGGCGCGGACGGCGGGGGCTGCGCCGGCGCCGGGAGCTGAGAGCCAGGCGGGGCGCCAGCCTCCGACGCCGCAAGGCCACCAGCCTGTTTGTTTGGCGCTGCCCGGCTCATGTCACCTTGGGGCGTTTAGCCGCTCGCCGCGCTCGCCGCTGCAGCCCCGCGCATCGTCCCACCGCCCGGCCACGCGGCCGCTTCGGGGAAGCGAGCGGCGGCGGCCGGCTGTGTTGTGTCGCGCCGCTGAGTCACATCGACGGCTCGGACCAAGCCAGGCGACGCGCGCCACGCGGCACCCGACCGCTCGCCGCCCGGACCGACAGCCCACGGCAGGGCAGCTCGCCGCCGGACCGACAGCCCACGCCAGGACCGCTCGCCGCCGGACCGACAGCCCACGGCAGGACCGCTCGCCGCCGGACCGACAGCCCACGGCAGGACAGCTCGCCGCCGGATCGACAGCCCACGGCAGGACCGCTCGCCGCCGGACCGACAGCCCACGGCAGGACCGCTCGCCGCCGGACCGACAGCCCACGGCAGGACAGCTCGCCGCCGGACCGACAGCCCACGGCAGGACCGCTCGCCGCCGGACCGATAGCCCACGGCAGGGCAGCTCGCCGCCGGACCGACAGCCCACGGCAGGACAGCTCGCCGCCGGACCGAGAGCCCACGGCAGGACAGCTCGCCAGCCGGACCCACAGCCCACAGCAGGACGGCGCTCAGCACAACAGGGCGGACGCTTCACACTGTGAACCAGAGCGGGGCTGCGGAGATTCACGAGCTACATGCACACAAACAGGCGACTGGTCAGAATCTGCCCACGCCGAACATGGGGGAAATCAGATTAATGTAATTTGGCGGTAAAGAGACGGCGACTTCCCTCACTTCGGCGAATACTCTCACGCGAGAAAAAACGCATAATGAGTTGTCAATTGAGTCACAGCTGTCCCTCCCGTCTCTCCTTGTGCTTATCCAACTATACTTGAACAAAAATGAGCGCATTCTCCCCCCAACCAAAAAATCGACAAAAACACAGACTCGTGTGTCGTTGACAGGCGCAAATTTCATCCACTGGCAGCCAAAAAAATCCACAGGACTGCGACAGAACGCGGCGCGTCCCGCGGCACCACCTGTCTATCAGAGCCCCACGGCCCCACCCGGGCCGTCCCCGCCTGCCAGACACGGGCAAGAGCCCGCTCCGGCGACAGCAGTGACGTCCACGGCTGCGACGTAACGGTGACTCATCACATCGGGCGTCGGTCACGCGCCGGGTCTCGTCACGGCGCCGGTGGCACGGCCTGTCCACGCGGGCCGACCAGGGCGCGGCAGGGCCTGTCCACGCGGGCCGACCAGGGCGGCCACGCCCGCGCGCGGACTCCGCACCAGCCGTCCCGGAACGTGTGCGGATATCAACAGTGTCTTCATCATCAGTGCTCGCGCTTGGCGTTGACAATACTGGAGTTTTTTTTTAGAAGCATAAATCATCTTCGATCCTCGCTCAACAAAACACGCAGATTGGTACAGCTCAGCCTGTATCCACCCTACCCCAATTCTGGGAGGCGCAACCCTCTAGCTTCTGGAGGATCTCGGAAGAACCAACCAAGACTTAAATTAAAACAACAAGACCCGAAGGCTTTTGGAGCTAGTTAAGCGCGACAACGGCATAAGTTGCTCACAATCTACTGACCTGAACGTTTTTTTTTTTTTAATGGCGGAAGGAGCCCAATTCGGATGTTTTGTTCCCTTTACTACCTGGGTTATCAGCGTATTTTTTTAAAAAATCGCCACTGGCTTAACGTTGGGACAACGAATGAGGTGGCACATGCCTTGCCCGGAGCGCTAATGGCGATCCTGCTCCCGTCGGGCGTGGGTCGCAGGCCAGATTCGGGTTCGGTCTTACATGTGTATATATAGTCTTGCATGCATATATGGTCTTACAGAATATAAATGCTGGCATTTGAGAGCGTACAAGAAGTAGGGGTGGGGGGTGGGGTGGGCGAGGGTCACGCAGCTTTTACTCTACACTTTGGTGGTGTAACAGCAATCTAGATGCGACCCGTAACTTATGACAGTGCACGGTAACACATACAATTCCCCTTGTGTCCCAAACCTCGAGCGATTGCCGCGTCACTGCTGCCAGCTGACCGTGACAGAGCTAATGCGGCAAACAGCTGCGCTGGCCCTGCAACATGAGCCCACTGCGCGAGCTACGGGCACGCAACAGCACTCTACGCGACCGCACCGGCCGTGATCACGGTACGTGGAATGATAAAACGCGCAGGTAAACACGCGCAGGCAAAACACGCGGCTCATCGTCGATAGGCCAGGGCGCGGATAAGACGCGGCGCCGTTTGCCAGTCATCGGGCCAGCCCCCCTCTCCCGCCGGCGCACCGGCCACGCTACAGGCTGACCTCACCCAGCCCTAACCCCCCCCCCCCCACGCGAGGCGGAGCCTCTCAGGGCAATC